GGCTACCTGGGATTTGAACCCCAGGTCGTGAGCACAGTTTTAGCTGCAGTACAGCGTTTTAACCACTGCACCACGAGGCTCTTGATAACATCTACTAGCAATTGAAAGAACACTACTCTTTTGGGCCTTCTTCCTGTGTTCATTACTCAAACATATTCTACTGCCATACATGTTGTTGTTCTTCTTGTTGTGTGCCACCAAGTCTCTGACTTACAGGGACCACATGAATTAGTGACTTCCAAGAGTTTCCATTATTAATAGCTCTGCAAGCCCTCTTGCAGACTAAAAGCCATGGCTTTGTCTGTTGAATCTGTATTTTCTTTCTGCCCATACTTTCTCAGCACTGTTGTCTTTTCCAGTGAGTCTTGTTGTCTCATAATACATCCAAAGGACAATAGCCTCAGTTTAGTCATTTTAGCTATGGCCATTCAAGCTTGATTTGATTTAGTTTCCACTTATTTGTGTTTCTGGCAGTCCATCCTAAAAGTTCTTCTTGAACACCACATTTTGGGTTGAAAAATGTTTTCTGTCACTTTCTTCATTGCCCTCCTTTTACATAGCCAGTAGGCATATCTTATCATGGATTATCTTGGCTTTGGTTTCCAACGACATAACTTTAAACTTTTCTAATTCTTTCATAGCTGCCCTTCCATGACTTACTCATCTTCTGGCTTTTTGCTGCAGTTTTTGTTTAGATTGATGTTTGAACTGAGGTGTAGAAAATCTTTAGTTTGATTTCTTGCTTGTCAAAAAAAAAAACCTTGTGTAATCCTTGTGTCAACTTCAGGCAGGTTAACTGTACCCATGCTTTTGTGGTCAACTGTAACCATGCTTTTGCATGTTGCTCTTCAACGTTCATTAAAGCAAAGCATGCTGTTTATATACCACCCCATAGTGCTTCAAACACTCTCTGGGCGGTTTACAAGTTGATTATGCAGACTACACATTGCCCCCCCCCCAGCCATTTCAGATTGTTTCTATTTTTTGTGAATAATATCTTGTCATCTGCATATCTAATTGATGTGACTTCTACCAAATTTCATTCCTCTTCCATCTGTATGTAACTCAGCTTTTTGTGTTATACAGTCTGCATGCAAGTTGAATAGGCAGGGAGATAAAATGCATCCTTGTCTGACTCCTTTGCCAGTTGGATACAATCTTTTTTCCATATTCTTTCCCGGTAGTAGCCTATTCTTCAGAATATAGGTTATGCATCAGAACAATAGCATATGGCGGCAAACCCTTTTTTAAAGAACAACTTGTTGATTTTTGTGGTCAGATACAAATACATAGAATCAAGGGTTTTTGATCATCTATAAATTGCGAATTTATTTTCTTCTGAAGTTCTTTGTTATGTTGTAGTATCCGACATATAGTTATCGTATGACCTCTAGTGCCTCTTTTTTGAATGTAACTTGAGCATCTGGCTTTTCTCCCTGCATTTAACGTAAGAGCCTTATTGTAAAATCTTAAGCATCACCTCGCTTGCATGGGAAATTAATACAGTTGTCCTATAGTTACTGTAGTCTTCTCCATCTTTTAACAAGTGTTACTTGTTCATAATTTTTCCACAAGTGGTGCACAATAGGGGAGCTTCCTGTGCTCTCATATGTCTTAAGCTACTCGCTTGTACCAGTCATAATTCTGATACAGTGGTGCCTCGACTTATAAACGCCTCTACATACAAACATTTTGACTTGCGAACAGCTCCGCTCGCAAAATTTTGCTTCGACATGCGAACGGAGAACATGATAAAAGACAAAAATGGGAGGGACCTAACAGAAGCAGAAGACGTCAAGACGAGGTGGCAAGAATACACAGAGGAATTATATCGGAAAGATTTGGATATCCCGGACAATGCAGACAATGTAGTTGCTGACCTTGAGCCAGACATCCTGGAGAGTGAAGTCAAGTGGGCCTTAGAAAGCCTGGCTAACAACAAGGCCAGTGGAGGTGATGGCATTCCAGTTGAACTATTTAAAATCTTGAAAGATGATGCTGTTAAGGTGCTACATTCAATATGCCAGCAAGTTTGGAAAACTCAACAGTGGCCAGAGGATTGGAAAAGATCAGTCTACATCCCAATCCCAAAGAAAGGCAGTGCCAAAGAATGCTCCAACTACCGTACAATTGCACTCATTTCGCACGCTAGCAAGGTTATGCTCAAAATCCTGCAAGGTAGGCTTCAGCAGTATGTGGACCGAGAACTCCCAGAAGTACAAGCTGGATTCCGAAGAGGCAGAGGAACTCGAGACCAAATTGCTAACTTGCGCTGGATTATGGAGAAAGCCAGAGAGTTCCAGAAAAATATCTACTTCTGCTTCATTGACTATGCGAAAGCCTTTGACTGTGTGGACCACAGCAGACTATGGCAAGTTCTTAAAGAAATGGGAGTGCCTGACCACTTTATCTGTCTCCTGAGAAACCTATATGTGGGACAGGAAGCAACAGTTAGAACTGGTCATGGAACAACTGAGTGGTTCAAAATTGGGAAAGGAGTACGGCAAGGCTGTATATTGTCCCCCAGCTTATTTAACTTATATGCAGAATACATCATGCGGAAGGCTGGACTGGAAGAAACCCAAGCCGGAATTAAGATTGCCGGAAGAAATATCAACAACCTCCGATATGCAGATGATACCACTCTGATGGCAGAAAGTGAGGAGGAATTGAAGAACCTTGTAATGAGAGTGAAAGAGGAGAGTGCAAAAAACGGTCTGAAACTCAACATCAAAAAAACTAAGATCATGGCCACTGGTCCCATCACCTCCTGGGAAATAGAAGGGGAAGATATGGAGGCAGTGTCAAATTTTATCTTCCTTGGCTCCATGATCACTGCAGATGGAGACAGCAGCCCTGAAATTAAAAGACGCCTTCTTCTTGGGAGGAAAGCGATGACAAATCTTGACAGCATCTTGAAAAGCAGAGACATCATCTTGCCAACAAAAGTCCGAATAGTCAAAGCTATGGTTTTTCCTGTCGTGATGTATGGAAGTGAGAGCTGGACCATAAAGAAAGCAGACCGCTGAAGAATTGATGCCTTTGAATTGTGGTGCTGGAGGAGGCT